TATTAAAGTCATAAAGACACAATTAAAAGAGACATAGTTACTAGAGCTTTAGTAAATAGTATTGTTATGCAAAAGACTGTAAAGCTGTGATTTTTTGTTATAAACAGTTGCCCAAGTGGTCATATAGGTACAATTCAGCTGGAGGAGTTCCAAATATTTCAGTCAGTACCAAATTTGGATTAGTGTCTCTGGGCAAAAGTATAAAAAAACCTCTTTGAACGCTAGATCTTTGATTTGCATTTTACACAAGATTAGAAGAAACTGACTATTTTGCCATCAATGGTCATTATGACCCTCCATTCAGTTCCCAGAAAAATGTTATTACAAAGAAAATCTCAGTGAAATTTACTGCAAAGTCAGGCAGAAAAAAAGAAAGGAATAGAGGAACATAAACTGACATGACTCCCTACCTTTCAGTAAGATTAGAAGTTTATTGATGAAGAATTGTGGAGATTTGGGGGTTTATGGTTCTCTATTTCTATTTAATTTCAAGATGTTTTAGGGTGGGTAGGTATGTTTTCTTGGTTTCGTTTGTTTTTTTCCCAACCTAAGTTACATCATATATATTAAGAGAAAATATCAGTCTTTAACATAACTTTTGTTCCTGTCAGATATTTAACTAGAAATGTAATAATTTGCTGAAGTAAACCACAAGTTAATCCTATATATCAGGAAAAAAAAAAACACTTTTGAAATAAAATACTTGTTTTGATCTTACTAAGATCATGATTAAGAAGAATTTATGGTATTTCTCAATGCTAGATTTTAATTTCCATTATTTTAACAACGATTGTGAGGCTACTTACATGAGTTGTAGATAAGGAATATTGGAGTATGACTTCTATATTTTGAAATTTGAATTATTACTTGCAAAAGTGTGGGGTAGTAGGTAGGAAAAAAAAAAGATTGTAATTACTTTGGTCACTTATGTTAGAAATTTTAATTTTTTTTATTTTTTTTTAAAAATTAATAATAGTAAGCAACATGTCAGCATTGAAAATACTTATAAGCCAAACACAAGCTATTAAAACCAGCACAACATAAGCAAGTCTAGACTAACGAAAGGTTGAATCACTGTTCCCACAAGCTGAAATTCTAGAAAATTCTAGAGAAGGATTTTGTCTTTTTTTATTTTTTAAATCCATCCCTTTGAGTAATTTACAGAACAAGTTTTTGCTAAGTTTCAAAATCTTGGTAATGAAATGAAACTTCATTGTTACAAAAGGTCAGTTTAGAGATACTGATTGTCACCTTGCTTTGTCAACTTTTCAGTAACAGAATATTAATAGGTATTGTATTAGCTCATTCTTGACAAGGCAAAAAGACAATAACCTTGCCAATAGATATCAGAGCCAATTTTTTTTTTTCCTTTGGCTCATTTTTGTCCTATAATTTAATCCAGAGAAGCATCAAGTGCTTGGAACAAATTTCCAGTCCTTAAATTGGACTTACATACATAGTACATTTATATAGGACCCCGATCCACCTGGATATAAGAGTTGGATGGGCAGATACAATGATAAAATATTGCTCTAGAAAGTCTGGGAATGGAAACCAGTTTTACAATTTTAATATCTTTAAAAATAAAACTAGTATAAATGTATCTTTAGTGTTTAAACATTATATATTAATGACCTGCAGATTAATCATGATGTCAATTAAATAGATTAATTATTAAACAGAAAACACAGACATTATCTTTCATCTGATTTTTTTGGAATGGCTCTTCACGTTGTTATTTTTGTTCTTTTCAAACCTTTGTTCTTGAAATGCTGTTCATTATTCAGAACAGTTTGTTTCCAAATTGATTTAATGACTAATTTTTACACAACCTCTAGAGCATGAGTACTAATATATAGGAGTATACCCACACATTTGTTCTTTTACCTCCCCATCCACTGACTAAATTAAGTAGATAAAAAAATATGAAAAAAGATGGGCAAATGTGATCATTTAGTTAGAGTTAATATGTTTAATTCAAATTAATCTTTAAATATTCATTTATTCAAAATTTATCATCATTGCTTCATTTTACATCAAAATTAGCCAGTTTATTAATAAAACCAGAGGATTATTTTGTGGAGGAAGTGTAAATCACAATTACATGTGCTGTTTGGAATATAGTATGGTATTTGGATTTGCGGATAAATTAAAATATAATAGACAGTTGACCACAGTGAGAATGTAGGTTGCAATGCATTATTTAGAGAACACGATTATTTGGTCTTATACACTGTGAACATGTCAATGAATGTGATCGCATTTTTCCAGTAGTTTGATTAAAGAGACACGGAAGTAATCTTTTAAAAACTGCACAACTCAAACAAAATCCTATTTGCTCCAGGGAGAACATGAACTCTCACCTTCTGACAGCACAGAAGTTTACTCCAGGGACACTAAAGTAATGAGCCAGCAGTAGCATAGGACATCAAGCTTTCAACGAGGCTGAAAACCCTGGCTACAAAACACAGTTGGCATTGTGCTGCATAGTTGTCAAAGTTGCCAATCACATCTCGAAAGTTCAGTTTTATATGCCAGGCAGAGATATATATACATACACACCCACACACATATGTCTATTTTTGAGATATCCAAGTCCTTTACTGTAGTGTAAAAATCAATACTGCAACAGTCGTAAACATTAATGGACACAGTAGCTGCTTCCTTAGCTGCAGCTAAGTAATTAACTGGCAAGAGCTGTGATGAAAGATCGCTGCCCTCACGAGAGCGACGGCTGTTGGAGGTAGCTCAATGACAGCAGTGTGAGGAGACATTGCCAGGAGGCCAGACACAGAAGGACTCTGAAAAAGGGAGCAACAGGTTAAGGGCGAAGACAAAAATAGGAAGGTGGGCTTCTTGTGGTCCTTGCAGTGCTTGAAGGGTGTTTGATCAGGGTATCAAAAGAGGAAGAAGTTCTGAAAGGCTTCTGTGCCCTTGCAAGCTGCCACGCCCGGCAGAGCAAACCCTCACACAAGACCGTCTTAAGGAACAGGTGTAATATTTATCCTGCTTTCCATGTTTCTGCTTAATCTCTCATTAGTGACTGCAATGGCCAAACGTACGCTTTTTTTTTCTATTTGAGTACATTTCAAAGAGAGTGAAGCGTGTGGTCTGACAGCAGCAGCTTTATTGTGTTTCAGCTTTCTGCAAAGGCTTTTATTTCCCTCTGTTTTGTAGATTTTTTTATAATGGACATTTTTTCTGAAAATGTTGTTGTATTCTTTCTATTTGCACTGTGGGAATAGCAAGCATAAACTGTATGATATCTGCCACTAGGAAAGACAGGTCTCAGATCTCAGATATGCAATGTCTTATTACAATTCAGCTAGAAGTATTTTTTTAATATGCATTTAGCTATATCAGATTGCAAGTAGAATTTCTTCACCCAGTCTTAGGATAAAAATTAATACTCTTTATAAAATGAAATTTAAAAAAAAGGTTAATTCTGCACCATCGTTCTGTTGTTCTTAATTCTTACTCTTCTATATCCTCTTCTGTCAATGTATCGGAAAGCTTTTGGCTAATGATGCAGGAATTGGTCTCTGAGTCGCAGTGGACCTGTGCCCTCTTCCCTCTCCTCTTCTTTATATTATAAATACTTCAGGGAATGGAACATCCTTTATTTATGTTTGTACAGTGCTATATTAATATAAAGTGCCATAAGTATATGTTGGGTTTAAATATTTATACTCTACTCATAAAATTCAATGCAGTCAGCAAAATACTGAAGTAGAGGATCAAAATTTCCCTAAATGCCTCTCTCACAAGCATCTTCGGAAGGACCTTTTTTATCTTTGACAAAAAGGTGGATGGAAGAATTTAAATATTTAATAGATTTTTACTTCACAGGCTGCCATGTTTTTTCTATAAATAAAACACTTTTCAGAATGAAATATCAAGGAAACTCTCTTTATATCTTCTGCACCAACACTGTTGATGACAGAACGACACTAACATTGACATAAGAAAATAGTGTATTCCACCTGTTTCTTCAAATCACTTGTGATTTTGTTAAAAATATTTTTTTATTCTGTATTTTATACCTAATTTATTTATATAGTTCTGACTTCTGGGAATATTCAATGTTTATGATGAACAGGAATACAGTTTTGCAGTTTTCAGCCAGTTAAGTACTTCTAAGTCAATCTGAGTTTTGATAAAGGAAGATTTACAAGATTAGGGACGAAACTTGGATTTTAATTTTGTCTCAACTCTTCCTAGGCAGCAAAATAAACATGAGTAATAATAAAGACATTTCAATTTCCTAAAACATTACCCACATTTTAATGATGTGTAATAAACCTAGATTCCCATCCTGTTCTAAATCAAGTCAGAAATCTTCCACTGACTCCAAAGAGGTTGGAGCTGGGATTGTAAAGCTCAAGAAAAAAAAATATTTTGAGCAAAAATCTCTGCTGATTTAGGATATAATTGACAGAGGGACTTGGGTATTGAATGTGGGGTCACCTGAAATCCCAGCCTCTAGACATTTTGCCCAAAATATGTTTAAAATTTTTAAAGGCATTACTGGTTTTGACATCCAAGTTCCCGAGGGGCCTAAAGTTCTGCTTCTAAACACACCCAGAAATGTTCAGTCGAGTCTCTTAACAGATTAACTCTTGTCTCATATTTCAATTCTACTAGGATATACCAAATAAACAACTTTATGCTTACCTTATCTGAGAGAGAATACAGCAAATAGTCTGCTTTGAGGTTCAAGTGCTTTTTAAATACTCCATAAGAATTAACTTTAAGCTTTTGCAATTTCATTGGCATCAATTTGTCAGAGTATAAGTGTGATCTTGTAGGAGGAGACCCAAATAAATGTTTAGGTCAAACATGACATATTTTTTTGTATATCAGTAACTAATACGTTTGTTTGTTTTCTTCTTAGGGCACATTGAATCCCTACTGTGTGCTGTGGGATGATTCAAGAACGTAAGTGACAGGTGTTTGCTTCTATGGCTATGGCTCAAATATTACAAAGTACCTAACAATATTTAAGTAGTTGGTCAGTAAATGGGTTGGTACGAGGGCAGGGAAAATGAATGTTTCACAGAGTGAAAGTACTGGATTCTCCAGTCACTTGGCTTCCTTTCTGCAGCTATGTAAATTGAAATAATACAATATCTCACCAGGAAGAGATTACTCACATAATAATTTTAATCTGCTTTTTCAAGATTAAAATGAGGATGTCTAAGAACTGTAGTTCCTTGATGGTAGTTGCTGGGCAACAAGCAAGTGGGTAAACGATCAGACAGATAACTAAGGAAGGCTCCCATTTCTGTTACTGCAGGGAGAAATATCATTTTCAAGTGTGGTACCCACAGCAATCTTAATTTTAGTTGGTGCAAATTTTCATTTTAGTTTAGTAAAATAATAGCTGTGTACTAAATAGTGAAAGCTTGCTAGCAGTCTTCTGCTACATTTTTCAGTGTATGTCCCTCTGTAGCAAAACAGAAAATGTCTCTGTAAAGAAGTAAAGCAGTAAAATCAGTGTGGTTTAAAAAGAATTCTAAGTTTATGCAGTTGTAATTTGCTGCATTAATCTTTCACAGTAAATCTCCCATTAAAGTCAAGGTGAACTTTGCCTAAATACAGATTAAGTGTTTCAAGAAGCATCCCTATGTGGTTGCCATGTTAATTTTTTTAAAGATGATGTTGTACTTCTTGTCCAGGTGTATTATGTATGTCTTATACTACAGACTCATCTACAGTGTTAGAAATTGTATGCTTGTGATTTTGTGAGTGCTTTTATCCTTGAGCCTGGGTTTACAGCAGTACACTGATGGATGAGAAACAACATTATATTATAGAAATGAGAAACTTTGGATATGATACTAGAAATCATTCCAAATACAAGTAGCAACATGGTCTATGCCTCTACAAAAGAATCATAATGCAGTTATTTGCCAGCAACATCATAATGTTCCATTTCTGTAAAATGTGTGGAATAAAGTACATGAAAGACTTGATATTATGTATTATTATGTGCACATGGAATGCAAAACATTTGGAACATATTCTTTGTTTCCTCTTCACAATGTTTTGCTTACACAGTAGTAGTACAGTGCTTTATTTACCATTTTTTACATGCATTACTTTAAGCACTGAGTATTTAGAGCACATGCTCTGATTTCACTGCTCCAGTCCAGAATATATCAAAGGCATATTTGCATGGCATTAGACTACAAAAAAAAAAAATCATGCTGTGGATTTAACAATGTGATTAAAAGTTTTCATGCAGGTATTTGGGATGAATATGCGAAGCAATCACAAACAAATGTATTTTGTGCTTGCCACTTGTTTTTCATGCATTGTTTAGTGCTACATATAAGTACTGGTTTCAGCATGCTTCAAAATCTGGATGGAAAAGTAAACTTTTGAAACATCTATAATTTACATAAAGCTTACATAAAATAGGCTGAGGTTTTGAGGGAAAAACACATGCTTTTGTGTTCTGAAGGACATCTTTTCTAGTCATATTATTTAATAGTAGCTATTGACGATGTTAAAATACTTGAAGATTAGGGGTATTCTTGGAGATTTATCAGTTTTGAAAAGTGATATGAGCCATCAAATATTCACAATAAGCTATGATGTATCAGTAAGTTCTGCATGGACACCATTGTCATTTGTTTTACACATGTATGTATGTTATTTTATGAGAATGTTACATTATCTCTTACCTGAGTGTGTAATAGCAAGAGCAAAATTCTACTTTTTTCCTCCATCCCTTAGGAAAAGGTCCCTAATGTTAACTGTGGGAGCATTAGTTGATTCATAATTTTATTTTTGCAATGCTGTTTATTTTTGTTTTGGAGCATTTTATTTGTATTTACAATGTGAGTTTTATATTATCATGAAAGCTCTATAATGCTGAATCAGTTCCTATCATTTTAAATCTTAATGGATAAATACATCGAGGACTATACAATTGATTAGGTGCCCATGATGATGTTGGGTTCTTGGTGGCTTGTTTTTCTTTTATTTTTTCCACTTTTTTCTAAGTCTCAGGAATTAGCCACTCTCAGCAGCAGGCAACTGGATTTAATGGATTAATAGCCTCATCCACACTACAAATCCTACAGACCTGTGCTGTGCTCATGTCCTTCCAAACTGGGTAATTTTTGCATAACCAGGATTTGGCAAGCGTTTTGGAATAAACCTAACGAAAAGTAGTCTGCTTTTAGTTGAAGGTGCTTAACTAATCAGTAGTCTATGCTGAGATGGGTGTTTTAAATTAAGTGCTTTTCAGATGAAAACTGTGTTTGCTTTTATCATCGGCATACAGCCAGCAGTAACCTCTAATGGGTTTTGCAACCTTTTTAACCACTTCTCCTACATCTTTATCTGCATGCAAGTTCACATTTGCTAAATGATACTTCCTCCACTGATCTTGTCAGTCTAATACTTCTCCAACAGCAGGGGAAGCTTTGTCTATCTGGGTTTTGGGCATGCTTCTCAGGAGATTGTTCAGTGATTAACGGTTCCCTGTCATCCATCCTTGAAGAAAGTTCTGGATCTGTGAGCTGTTTAATCACACCAGATCATCGAACCTATCCTACTGCCATTGCTATCTGTGACAATTTGGTCATCCTAACTTTGGCAAAAGCAATTTTAATCCATTCTTTCTGTGAGATTCAGTGATTCTTCCCTGTGATGATATTTTATAAGGTTTTCCATTTATCAAGCTGGCAGGCTTGTGCTCTCTCCATAGGCAGCTAGTCAAATGTGTGTACTATATTGAGACAGTGCAAGTAAAGAATAAAATATTATGTCATGTATTATAAAGGGCTAACTCAAATCCAATAATTCAGCATTTTGTTTCAGTTGATTCTCCCAAAATATAGAGCACATCTGTCTGTGTTGATTGAAACCAGGCTGTTTATGAGTTCTGGTGCTTCCTTTGATATTTCCAGCTTCCCCACATGAAGCTGGTAGCATCAATGGTATGAAAGTGGTGATTTTTCCCCCCTCAGAAATCTTCATCCTTTCATTTCAGAAAATGTATTCTAAATGTTACTTTCAGTAAAGTCTTAGGGTACTGAATGCTTCTCCCTTCAGTGCATGAGAAAATGTGTGGAATATTTGTAATTGACATTCTGAGGAGAAACAATTTAGTTCCTTAAACCAACCAAACAAAAACTCAAAAAAGAGTTGTATCTTTTCTGCTTTACATTGTCTGGCATGAACAAACTATCCCTGCTGTCAGGAACTGTTTGTGATACATTAATTCCAGTGCCTCAGTCCACAAAGAGAAAGAAAAGAAGCTGGTCAGGTACTAGGGATGACTTTCCCACCTCTCAGAAGTGATTTTAAAGATTTTAAGATGAAACCAAACTTCTGAAAGTTTTTCTCCTGTCCTCCTACCTTTCTGGAAAGAAAAAGAAGAAGGGAGAGGGAGACAGCAGAGACAGTCTCAACCAGCAAGTAATCCAATGGTTTGAGCATTTACTTGGGGACCTCAGGGACCAGCCCTTCAACTTTTTCTTTACAGAAGTTACTTGAGGAGTTTGAAACATACTTTTCAGCCTCACAGGAGCAGCCCATGTCCTCTGAGCTGTTGGCTCCTCTGGAGTGTGTTACTCACAATGTGTCCTGCTGGAACTCTGCCATGTTATTTAGGAAAATATTCATGGGTTGGGGAGCTGATTCACAGCACCTCTATACTTAATTTTACCACTTTTTCCATGTGTTTGTCACTATGCCACACCTAAATCTTAGCCATATCACTGTCAGTGGTTTTTTCCTAGCACTGTTTTGCTTTATGTAAGTCTGGGCAAGGCTGTGTAAGCCTGGGGGATCAAAGAATCCTTGTATGCATGCATACATTTCCATTTTAAAAATGCCATTTACTGTGGCAGTTTTGTAGGCTGTCTGAACAGTTCTCTTGAACTTTGTTGCCTTCTCTGATGCTTGTATCTGTGATAGGTGCCATAACAGGCAGTCTGTATGGAGCTCTAGGATCCCTGAAAGTTTGGCCTGACGAAGTTAGTCACTCGTCTTAGTGGACCCAGCCGCTGGATTCTTGAACCAGGGTGCAGAATCCAAAACAGAGTAAGAGGCTGGAAGCTAGGTGCCACAGTACTGAGCATCGCAAGTACCACCCTCACATGCAATCCTCGGCTAACACCATCACGATGAGGGCATGGAAGGTGGGGTGGACACGGTGGGTCACTGGAAGGAGGTGACATATCACATGGGAGTTTCAATAGTCACTGACTGATTAGCAAAACAGTGCAGCTGGTGTTCGTTCTTTTAGAAATGTGTTGGACGTAATGTGGGCACATGTGCTCTCCACAGGACAGTGTCAGTTGTTGCTGGCGTGCTCCACAGCTGTATGTGGTGCAACATGACATCTCACAGCACTGGGTAAGGAAAGAGCTTTAGCATTCTTGGGCTCTTTTCTGCCAGTTGCTGCAGAAGGATGTTATAACAGTATGGTAGCTTTTTATTTGTCCATATGTGTGCTCATAGCAGTTTGTGCCTGCTGAAAATATGATTGGCAGAAGTACAATGCAATTAGCTGAAATTTTTAGTACTGCAAGGATTTTGACCTGGTTCAGTTTTAGTTTAGGGCAAGTGGTAGGTCTGCTCTGTTTTTTTTTTTCCATTGCCATACAAATTTACATTGACAGTGGTTTAGATGTTCTACCCTGAAGCTATGTGAAACTATGAATACCTATATATGAGAAATGAGAAATTGTATACATTTATATGATTTCAGGATTTCACTCCAGGCATATTATAACATCCCCCATTAAAAAGAGGGTTAAAAAAAGTTTACAATTACTTATTTTTAATTATCCCATAAAGCTTTTAATTATTTTTCTCCCATTGTCCCTGGATACAATTGTGGAGAAATAGTCCATAAAGGAATTTGTTCAATGCAAATGAAGACAAGTCTACCAGTTAATTGTGATTTTCTCACAAAT